GGGGGTAATACCATCTCCACTATTTTTTAAACGGCGAAGATGATGCCGTGGAGCTGTTCGGGATATCGTCGACGTCATTGCCTTTGTTGCTCAAATCGTAGTGAGCCCAGTGACGGTTACACTTGCGTAAGACATCCTCGGTAGTTGATAGTTTGCTAGGAGGGTGCTCGGGGTCAGGTATGGTGGATCCACTAGCATTGTCGGAGTTGTACCATGCCAATTCGTTCCAGAACGAATTATTTGTGTTGTCAGAGTCATTCTCAAGAGGTAAGTAGGGATCTGGAGAGTTATTATGGTCACCTTCATCTTCATTATCTTCATCATCAGTATCTGAGGCAATGTCTATTATTTCATGCTCATCATTTTCACTCTCGTCTCCTGAACCTTCGCCGAATAGGACCTTTAGATCAGGGAAGAGTGGTTCACCTCCTTTCATATAAGCCATGCCTAGCTTTTCTTCCTGTGGCAAAAATAAATTGTAAGGTTGTGATATTTATTAACTTTAAACATGGAAAGATAAGATGGGTCAAGGAAATATTTTTCACTTACACGCACAATGAAGTTCCAAGTCGGTTCAGTAGCTTCCACCTTATGGCCATTGGGAGTATACACCACACCACTTAATGTTTTCATCCACTTGAAGACGTGATATCGCTTACGGAGCTTTCGAAGCCGGTCGGTGATAAATTTTTTGTCAAAGTTCATACCAAAATGCTCGTTGAGCATGCTCGATGCGGACATGAGGGCGTGCATGTTGATTCTCCCAACCACGTAAAAGCCTTTCTTTTTTTGATCTATCAAGAAATCCACAAACACTTTCTCAACCTCTTTGGTCCACTCTTTGGTGTAAAACACCTTCTCTTGTGAAATTGCACCCTTAAGCTTCTTGGTTGGAGCCATCTTAGTTCAAAAGTGACAAGAGGTACAAATTTATTTATTTTTCCGTGATTTCGTATGGTGGAGTTTGGATGAATCTGTTGTGCACTTTTTATAGATACTAGCCTGTACATTTCAAAGGATCAAGCCTTGAATGTTCTACCATGTAGTTTTGGAAAAAAAAACAAATGGACTAGGATTGGAATATATTCTTTTTAACTTAAAGAAGATAAATACAATTATATTGTGTCAATATGTCATCTTTTTGAATGACATTTCATACAAGGAATCAGAATATAATCTATGACCCCTTGCACTTAGATTGATAAATGACAAACTAATTTTTCGGATGTGAATATAGTTCATATTGGGACTCATTTGGGTTGCATGTAAATCTACACAAACACACAAGGAGCAGAAAAGAAAATATGGGAGAGAAGATTTGGTGGAGATTTGGTTGTAAAGAAAATAAAAAGAGAGCTAAGGAAGGAAAAAGGAGCTACTGATTTGCAAAAGAAAAAGGACAGCAACATTCTGTTTTGGAGCAAATTGGAGATTAAAATTGAAAAAGCTTTCAGGGAGAAAAAAACAATAAGCACATTCATCCAAATGTTCTAATACGACAAAACAAAAAGTTCATTGCAATGTTCTAATACAAGGTTTAAGTGTTCTAATACAAGTCCCCAAAACAAAGAAGATTTCTTAATACATTCATCCAACTTACACAACCCAAAAACAAACATCAACCAAGACTTAAAACACTAGTTTTGTCCACGAGACCCACCAAATTAACAAAAGTAACTAAATCAACAGTTTTATCCACTAGATAATTCAAAATACACCAAATTTCATTCAACACCAGCACTACAAGAACCCACCGAAGACTCGGTAAGTGCATCGTCCGGAAAGGATAAGGGGACCGGCCATGTTCCGAGTTTCGGGAAGACCCAGGCACACTGTTGATACCTAGGGAATCCATTTCGATGAAAATACTTGTGCACAGTTGTTTCCTGAACCAAATATGATTTTAGGTTTATCAGATCTAAAAATACAACCAAAATCATAAAGAGTTGTAAAAAAATATAAACTACGTTTTACCTGATGAATTGCAGCTAGGTAGCGTTCATGATCCAGAAGCACATATCCCCATCTTTTGTTCAGGTTAACTCCGGGAATCAAAGTGTATTCAACAAAGAGATAATACACATCTCGGAGTCTACTAATCCGTTCTTGCACCTTCCTTGCAGATATTTTTTTCTTGAATCGGAGAGATAATTTACGCGAGACTTCCACGAGTATGTCCATCATGACACCAGGGAAATGGAGGTCCTTTCGGCCTCGACAAAGGGTAAAGTATTCATCAAAGCACACCCATTCTTGGTATTTGCTCCATCCCTGCCGATCGAGGTAGTCCTGAATCTTTTTCCACTCATCTAAACCAGCCATTGATAGGAAGTGGCCTAAAAACAAAATAAAACAGTACTCGTCATAGCAATCAAAGATGTAGGGCAAAAAACCCAACAATATTTCTTTATCCTATTGCAGTTAAACATATTGAATTCTTGCAACTTGCAAGAACTCTGAAAGGAAACAACAAAGATCAACACCAGACTGATCAAATATCAAGATTAATTAAAGAAACAAAATATTAATTAAAGACACAGTTGCGTTACAAACTGTTGTTCCACATTAAAGGACATACAACAAAGTCACATGCAATGTACTTATTTCATAATATACATCCACACGCAATTGAGATTACAAATAAAATGAATAAAAATCTATTCTTCTTCTTCAATTGAGCAATATCTTTTTCCAGTTTCTTCAACTTTTTTTTGTACGTCTCCTTCTCTTGTAGTTCACTTGCACATTCGACGTTTTGACGACTTGTTTCCGCTTCTAACCGGTTTACCTTACGGAACAAACCGGGAATTATTTCTTTTGATCTATCACACATAGGAGGGTCGAACCAATTCCAAAAGGTACAACCATTTTCGCTACAATCCACGTACCTCCTACCTGGGTTGGCAGGGGTCCATGAAGTTTGTAATCGAGCCACTTTGCCACAGAAACAAAAAACACCGGCTTCTCTCCTTGTTGAACTTGAAGAGCTCATTATTTTGTGTACTTCAAACAACAATAAATTCAAACCATAGACCACATATAAGTGACAAAAAGTATAGATCATTATAAATGTTGAAATTATAATTGTAAATCTGGAGCACAATATTGCTGAAATTATGTGTGCTTAAATAGAAGGGCTTCAATGATATTCAAGCAGAGCTAATTGGATGCTTGGGTT